AAATACTCAGTGGAAGTCTACAGCGATGAATAACATCACCCATTGTGTTGAGGTTACTCACCACCAAGTGACAGTCCTTGCAAAAAGATCCCGAATCTTATCACCATCATCGCTTGCTACATTGTAACTATTCGTGCAAACCCTTAACCCTAAACATTTTCATTTTTGGGTAGTGTATTATAATCCCTTACCCAAGAAAACCCTAATAGATTCAAAAAGGAACTACATAGGAGCCCTTGGGTAAACCCTGTAGGATGAAGTAAGTTAATCCGGCCGGCGTATTTTGCACCAAGCCTGGCAAAAGAACCTTTCGTCTTCAGAGTTGTACTTTAGGGCTCAGAGTTTATGGGTTTAGGCTTTAGGGTGCGGGGTATGAGGGTTCAGGGGTTTAGGGTATGGGGCTTCGAAACACCAAACAATGCAAACCACCAAAAGCGCCCAGAAATCTCGCAGGCAAGTGGGGCAGTCCTGCACTACTGACAGGCGGGACGCTTATTTGGGGCTTGACCTAATGGGATTCAGGCACTTGGACCCTAACCTCTAAACCCCGAACAACGCCTGAAGCCTAAAGTTTAGTAATTTCACAGGGCATATATCGGGATATATACGGAATATAGCAAAGAGAATTGAAACTACTTTCCCTTTGTATACAACGCCTACTATAATCCCCATTTAACTAAGCACCGGGAAGCTAAAACAAGGACTGGAGGAGCGTGCGGCCTCCAAGCGGGTCTTTGCTGTCTCCTCTGCAACAGCAACAACCTGAGAAAGTACGCCAGGCTTCGCTTTGAGGGGTGCTGGGTTTAGAGTTTAGGGCTTGGGGTTTAGAGGCTTCAAAAGGGACCCTTAATGGGGACGCTTTTAGCTTTTTGGGTGTATTGTGGAGGTCACCCCTATAGGGTGTCTAAAACATACAACCACTATACATGGGGGATATAATGTAATAGGATTAGCGGCCTCTTCCAGATTTCGCTCCTACAAATCGATGGTTTATATAGGGTTTAGGGAGCTCTTCCTATTAACCCCTAGTTTCAATCTCAAATTCCATCTGCTTTCCAATTGATTCCCAAGTATTCCAATACATCTGCCTAGTTGCGCGTCATTTCGCCGTGAGGTTGGCAAAAGTGCAACCCCTCTCTAAACCCTAAACTCTTACCCTAAACTGCTACGAAACAGAGCAGGTGTGGCGAACTTGAGACCGCCAGGATCAGGTACGAATGATTTACTAATGGAGGCTTGCTGTTGAAACACTGTAAGCACCTGCGCCTTCGATGAAGTTTCAAGAAAGGCACGGGAAGATAAGAACCCGTTTATGAAAGCAAGGCTCCGATATATTTCACTTCATCTGGCCCTAGCTTGAATGCTATCTCAACAGAAGGATTGACGGTATGGAGCTGAATTCCGTAGGCTGAGAATTTGAGATCCCCGCATGGCTGCAGGCATTGAGGTCCAGAGAGGCTTCTACCCAAGGGCTCCCATGTAGTTCCTTTTTGGGTCTGTTATGGTTTTTTGGTATAAGGGACTATAATTCGCTACCCAACAAGGAACTACATAGGAGGGTCTGAGTCTACCCCACATCCCATACAACATCCCAGACACTCTTCGAAAAAGATCTGGCTACTTGAAGAGTCAAACGGACTTTAGTTCAGTGAGCGCGTGAAGGAGTTGTGGGGTGCTTTATGGCCTGTAGGGGCTGTAAATGAACTTACCGCATCCCCTTGACCCAGCAAGTATAGCCCTAGGGATCCAAATAGCCCAATGTAGGAAATGTATACAGACTTGAGGGCCCAACGTAGTATACGTGGATCTCTATACATCCCCTTCAAAACCCAAGTTTCCATTTAATTTTCCATTTTGTGTGTTTTGCAATTGATTCCCCATTAGTGGTATTATTTGTATACTCTAAACCTTAAAACCCAAACCCTAAAACCTCAACCATAAAGGCTAAACTCTACACTCTTATATATTATTTGTATACTTGGATCTCTAGGTTAGGGTCCAGGTGAACTTGCACTACTTATCACCCAACGTAGCCCAGACGCATCTGCAGCTTGCAGCGTCCCAAGGTCCTCTGCACTCCTGGCACGGACCAACCGAGTCGTAATTCCTTTTGGTGGCTGGATCTTATAAAGCTATATCATTCTCATAAAATGCTATACCCCAAATGGAGGAGATAGTCTTACGCTATATGAAGGACTATAGCATGGCCATTAGAACCGCGAAGGATCCACATCCATAAAGAATACCTACATAAGGCACTAAAGTCTGTACATATTACCTGCATTGGGCCATTTGGATCCCTCGAGTTAGAATAGCTAGCCAAACGACCTAGTTGAGGTGAAGCACGAGCTGTCATGAATGCATACGGCTTTCGCGTCGCGTCTTCTACTGCTGTTAGCCAATATCTTGCATTACTTCTGTATTCCATAGCACCATATGTTTCAAGGCTTAGCGTACTTCGGGTTATGCAAGTGGTTGATTGTCCACCGCAACTGTTGCCCAAGCATTATGTACGAGTACCAAAGTGCTCCAGTTTAGCTTGCACAGACTCTGTCTCTGTATTCAAAGATCTACATGGCTAACTTCCGGGCGTCAAGCTACACACCCTACAGAGAAGGACTTAGAATGAGGCCAAGCAGCAAGACATGACAAATTAGAACCACAGAGCCGGAAAGCAAATGGGGTGCATGGCCTCGTCTGGCGGGGAATTGTACGCAATTGTTGCTGCAACGCGGTCGTGGTCTAACAAACGATTAAGATCTGCCTCTGCCAGCTATGCATGGCCGCAGTCAAAAATACCTCCCACAAGAATTACCCTTGTATGCAAGGCTCTGTTGTGACTTAACCTCAGCATGAGCCCTCAACGAAAGGCCCTGAAACCTTGACCTCAGAACCCCAGTCTTGGGTCTCACCTTGTTGTTATTATTTACGCCTGAAGGTTCAGGGGAGAGCGGAAAATCAAATGGACAAGAAGCTGGACAATGGAATGGAGGCTGGGATTATTTAGGGGTTACAGCACCGCAAACATGAACACCTGTGGCCCTATGCCCCACAGGCTTGTGTCTGCCAACCTCTCGAAAAGACACTGAATTACTCACAACAATTTTGAGCGACGCCCAAGTGTCAAGCCTGTTTCTACCTCTATCTGACGGACCACCAAAAAACCTAGCAAAAAACATGCAAACCTACAACATGCCTTCTCATTGTCGAAAGCATACTCTGTCGGTTACATGTATTAGGACGGGAGTTTAAAATCCAAGAAGCCAGTACAAAAAAAAGAACGGCCTAGCCCAACGTACTCCCCGGATTCAATTTGAGCCAAATCCTAAAGCCACAGCCCGACACCTTTCATGAATTCATGTTCAGACTCCACTGTAAGCCATGGTGTCTCCCACACATCGCAAACTGTTACTGGACAGCGATCCGTGCACGTGCCTTTGGGCTTCACATACCTCCTGGTGATGGAGGATGACAGAGTGAATCCCTACAGCAACAAACACAAGAACCCCCCCCCCTTACCCTAAAACCTGTAGCAAACCCTAAACTCAACCTTAAACCCTAAACCCTCAACCCAGAAAGCTTAAACCCTGACCCCTAAACCTGAACCGTAGAGGAGGGAGTCATCTATCAAGTTGAAGCCTGCCGCCCCCACGCACAACTCTTCGCGCCATCGCGCGCTGAAGTGCCTGCTTTCAACATGACCAGATAGGCTCTATCTACCCAAGGGCTTTACCAAAAGGCCCCTAGGTAGTTCCTGTTTGGGTTTGTTGCGGTTTTCTGATAAGGGGTCACACTATACTACACAAGCGGAAACTACACAGGCGGGTCTGGGTAGGGCTTGTGGGATTTAGAATGCAGGGTTTAGGCTTCGGAATTTAGCCTTCACGGTTTGCAAGGTTTGGGGCTTAGGTTCAACTACCCCATGTGGGGCGTGCCGAGACTCAAGATTCAGATACCTTGAGGGACCTTTGAGATCTGTATCGATGACAGTAGGATCACAGCGGCTGTCCCAGGACAAAAGAGGCTATCCCCATCGGGTCCAAATACATACCAGGTAATTGAGTACGCGGGATGCAATACAATACTGCAATGAGGCTTATAATTGAAAAATCACGTGGCAATTTCCATAAATAGAGATACCCCAGCATAGACCACAGTATACTATGATGCTTAGTAATTCTTGGGGCCCCCGAAATGGTATCCCCAATTTTCAGAAACCCACATATGGATCCTGGGTACTTGGACCCTGAAGGTGTCATGTGGCCATCGCACTGTAAGGTTGCTTAGAGCTGGGCTGGCTTCTGTTCTCTCCTGTTTTTCTGTTTTTTGTTTTGTCTGTCTCTGCTGTTTCCAAAAAAAAAGCATGCCATTATTTAGCTTTTGCCTTGTTGTTATTCCGCACGGGACAAAAGACACAAGTTCGTCGTATTCCGCAGCCTTGTTAATAATCCATTTGGCCCAAAATTTGCTCAATTCCAAGCCACTTTAAGAATCTAGGTTCCCCAGTACCCCCATAATGATAAGGGTACCCTTTTTCCCAGTATTCAGTTTTGTTCTGATTGCGTGCTTGTAGCAGGATGCGAACGCTTATGGATCGAACTGGTGAACCCTAAATTTCCATGGTTTGTACATGGGTACCGACTCCCCCCTTCAATGAAAGACCGGCAGAAGATTCTTTCTGCAAGCCATTTAGAAGGTATAGGACTATAGACAGGCAGGCCTTCCGATGAATGCAGCCTTTATTTCTGATGTTGTTGTAACAAGTTCAGGAGCAAGAATCCATTGCGTCTTAGAGAATGACATTCAGGGCTTTATGATTTTCAGTTGTGAGGCTTGAGCTCTTTAGCAGCTGCTTCCGACTTCCAGTCGCTGCACTCATCATGCCCCTGATTCTTGCACCACGCATATTAGTTCGAGCAGTTTTGGGCTTGTAAGGCGAAGTAAGCCAACAACTTCATTTTCTGAATTTCCAGCCAGGACTTTCAACCGAGAGAGTCTGCCTCCACCACATTCCGCACGGTGCGGCCGTTGCCGTTGTCCCGGGATGGATGGCAATCGGGGTCTGCGATGTCATTGCCTTAGCTGAGACTTCAAAGAATGCCCAGGGCTTGAGATTCAGGGGGTTTAGGGTTTCGGGCCTCGCATGTCATATCTAAGGATTTGCATGCTCTTCCCACCAATGCAAGACGCGCATAGCTTCACTAAGCAGACTTACTGGGAACCTTGTCTCCTCCTGGGAAGCATGTTAGCAGCAGAATTAAAGCTTGAGAGAGGGCCATCTCCGCACAAGTGACTGTACTTCAGGAGTCGATATTGGGATGCAATGCTCCACTCAAAACTAGAGTCCCTCAACGCAACCCAAGCGCCTGAAGCTCGAAGATTGGAGAAATCAGCTTCTCCCTTGCTGACTTGCATGGATAGCTCACATAGCGGTCTTGTAGACATGAGCACGGCTGATTCTCAAATGCTACCTTTGTGCCTTTTTCATGATTCTGAATTAAAAGCACTGTGAATGCCTGTAGTAGTTGTGCTGTATGTTTGTTAGGGCTGCTTTTTATTGAAATGCTTTGGGTGGTTTTGTTGGCCCTAGCCGTGCGTTCTGAACCCTGCAGTCTTGGCCAATTTCTGGTTACATTGGGGTTCTATTGGGATAATGGAAGATAACATGGAAGCTACTACTTAGGGTTCAGAGTACGAGACAGCTGTCGACGTCTGGGTGTGATGGGCTGTTGTCAGTCTGGGCGCCTGTTTTGCTGGCAAAACAGAAAGCTCTGTGTGCCCATACGTCACTGCTCATCCCTCTCTCAACCCCTTACAACCCTAAACCCTAAGGTCTAAGCCCTAAACCCTAAGCCCAAAACAAGTAGGCCCATTTTCAAGTCCGTCAAGATGCAGCAGCCGCTCGCGAAGGAGATCAGGTCGACCAGCTGAGATGAGACCTGAATCTTTGGAGCTCGGTAGGCTATATTACAAAGAGTTTATGACCCCTATGTTTGGGGTTTAGGGTTTAGGGTCTAAACTCCAAGTATCCCGCTAAATGACCCCTAGAATACTCCCCAAAGAACCCCCTCTAAGAAGTTTAGACTATGGCACTAGTGCTTGAATAATAGCAGTTATGCTGGACCATAGGAATTGGGGAGGTATATTATGAGACGCTACATGTATCCATAATGATATAATCATGTGGGACCAGAGGGCTGTGTAACTGGTGTTTTTCCTAGCGGGCTTTGCGCTGATTAGGTCCCCCCCTCCTCGCTATTTCTTCATGGTGTGGCTTTATAGAGAGCAATTCTACAGAGAGGCCATGGGCACGTAAAGAATATACAGGAGATACACTTGGCTTGAGAAGGAGTACACGGGAACTGCATAGCGGTGTCTTGTCAAATTATGATTCCTGCTCTGGATTACTGTCGCAGAGCTTGAGTTTCGGAAGATACCAGCGACAGAGCCTGGGAAAGTGGAGGTTCAGGGGTTGGGTTTAGGGTTTAGGGCGAATGTCCAGGTTTTGAGGCTTGTTATGTGCAGGACTTTGCTGGACAAGTCTTTTGAGCGCAACACCAGGTGTGGAACAGAGTGAACCAAAACATAATCTATCTTCAACACCGCTTGCCGATCTATGACACACAATTCCTGCGCGCACATGTCTTACCCTGATCTGTGAGCCTACGTGCGTTCACGGGGGTAATACCATTGCAGCTCTCCCGGAGTTAGCAACTCGTTTTCAGGGAAGGGGGGGACCAAGCTTCTAGCCCCCGGGACGCATCCTATAGAATCTGGTATATACTTTGGCCTCAAGTGGCTCTTCTGTACGGTCTCGTGTGGGCAGACTACATGGCATATAACGGTGCACAGGCATCGGGAGCCGTATAGAACAAGTACCTCTAGAACAAGTGAGCTTTAGTCTGAACTCCTTAAACGGGGTCAGTCTGAACTCTTTACACGGGGTTATATAGGGGGCTATGTAGGGGTGTAATATAAGGGTTAGTAAGGGAGATACCAGGAATCTATTGAAGCGCTCCTATGTAGTTGCTTTTTGAGTCTGTTATGGTTTCTTGATAAGGGATTATACTACACTGCCCACAAGGAACCACATAGGAGGATCTGGGCAGCTTCCCAAAATTAGGGGGATTAACGGAAGGATGTTTGAACAAGGTTTGGGCATCAGAGCCCAAAATTTTGAACCTTGAGGCCATGCGAGAACTAGCTATATGGATGCGGTGCCAGGTGCGACTGGCGCAACGGAGAGACCCTGCGAAGAAAGCACCTGGATTAGGTCTCAGGTCTAGGCCATCCAGCTTAGGTTCATGGCCTAGGGCTTTGGGGGCTAGGACTTTGGTTGGCATTTTTGGGGCAGGGAGACGCCCAGAAGGGGGCCTACGAAGACGAGGGTCATTATCTGGGCTTCCATGGAGGAGGCCACCCAAAACATCGCTCATGCCCAATGCATTCTAGATCTGGAAGGGAAGGTGCAGGGGTTGGGGTCGAGGGGCTCAATTTGGCTCAGTTCAGGGGCATCTCAAGCATGGAGCCCTTTCCTGCACTTACTTCAGCATTTTGGATGTCCAGTACATAAGCCTGATTCTGGTTGCTTACAAGGTCCTGGGGCGTGTACTGGAAGGCCTCATCAAAGGGGAGTCTGCAAGCCTGGCGTAACCTTTAGGGTTTGGCGTGTAGGCTTCAGGGCTATGCCACTTACTGTTTCTACTCCTACGATTAGTAGTATTATTGCTGCTATTCTAGACCTCCCATCCAACGGAGTTCCAACTTGTCTTCACACTCAGTCACATCTTCAGGGCTAGCGGAAAAACTTGCAGGACAAGAGGTGACAAACCATTCAGAAACCCGCACTGAATCCAAAACACCCTCAGCCCCATATCCTGAACATGAACCTCTCATAAACCCCTGACCCATAAACCCTGAGCCTCAAACCCAGAGTCGTAGTTTCAATTGCGTTTTCCATTCCCGTCTATACTGTTGGTAAGTGTCAGTCGGATCCAGGATTCATGCAGCTGCATTGGGACAACCCGACACCAAGCCCTAAGCCCTACTGTAAACCTTATCAGGCCACAAAAACCAAAACTCTCCACCCTACACACCCTCAACTCCCAAATCTCCTGAACCCTAAACCCTATATAAGCCCTAAACCCTACCACCCCTAAAAACCAATCAGTCGAGGCCAGGCGGCGAGGTTGCCAATTTGCCCAAGTTCTGAGCAGCTGTAATCCTGCGGTTTGTGGCTTACCTACAACCTCAATTCCCCACAGTTTCATATTAGGGGTTAAGGTTTACCCAGACCCTCCTATGTAGTTCCTGTTTGGGTAGTATAGCATAATCCTCAAGCACAACACAGCCAAAAAGGAACTACATAGGAGCCCTTGGGTCGGGTTGAGGGCTTAAAGTTTCAGCACCCTTTAAGTACGAAGGAAAACCCAATAAACTATAGGTACTCAGGGTTACAGGTCAGTTCTTCCTGTCATTCCCAACGGTCGATAGTGACAGCCGTTGACCCCAACATAATGGATACATGGCGGTTTGAAACAAGTGGACGCCATCATAGAGCCAAAAATATGAGTAATCCTGATTACGAGAACTCCAAAAAGCCGAAATTATCAGAAACCCCATTCAGGGTACTATCGTGGATATTTGGCAAGTCCGTTGTTTTTATTGCATGGTGTTGGGGGGATTGGGGTATTGGAGGCTTCGAGCTTGAGGGCTAAGAATTTCTGATGCATTGGGGCTTTCAGGCTTACATGTTTACCTGGACCCCAAAAATATGTAAAATCATGGCCTTTAGGGCTGGTATTATGGGTTGGCTCGGGCAAGAGCGTGAAGGAGAATCGCGGAAGAAGCGCCCCCGTCCAAGGTACGGCTAAGCCTTGAAATTGAACCCCTAACAGGGAACCCCAAGAATAACCTACGATATTCTTAAGGTTCCCTGTTTGGGGTTCACGTTAGAACCCTTTTAGCCTTCCCGGCTCCGCCATACAGATTAAAATATTAGGCCCTTGCAGTACCAGTGGAAGGCATGAAGTGTGGAATACTTGGACGGACAGCGCTGTGGATGGTTTCTCATCTGATGATGGGGCAGGTTGAAGGACTTGCCTTTTTCAGCCTCCTGTCCTCCTTCCACACTGCCCAGTTGCCATTTCGATTCTTTGCTAGGGATGCGTGGAAATCCATATGAGCAGCTCTCGAACCCCACTTTAATATACGAGTCTACCCAACTACTTCCTCATTACGGGGACCGGTCGGCCGTTAGCATCACAGCCCTTGCAACTGCTGACACGCACATGCGAGGTTGCCTCACTTTTCCCCAAAACGGCAAAACATGAGAAGGTATAGGGATCCGTAGTATACCCAAGCACATGGCTGCATAACTAATTATCTGCTAAGTATGATGGGCATATATTTTCAGGCAGCTCCTAACATGTTTGCAGGCAACATCCTTTCAAAGGTTCAAGATGGTTCAAACGCAACGCCTGCGAACCTTCATCAAAGTATTTTGATCTCCTAGAAAAATACAAGTGACCTTACTCCAAAATACGTTTGCAAGGATGAGGTCCAAAATTTTCCTCATCATGCTCTTCGTGCTAGTGGGCCATTTGAGGCATCTCCAAATGCACCGTCAATTTCTTGCCTCAATATCCCCAACATCAGCCCCGCGACATCCTCCTTCCCATAGCAGGCGAGGAGTTTAGACAGCCCTACTGCAAAACCTGGTAACGTTTGCAAAAAGCTAAGCAGCCTCGAACGTAGCCGTTGATGTGGGGCGAGGGGGCGATAGAGCGCTGAATCTGAATACCAACATAGATCACAAGCACATTTTGGAAGCCTGAAGGTCCAAGGTCTTGCCAAACCCTTTTCGTAGAAAATGACACCGAATGCAAGGGAACTGTTGCTTCCAGGGTCCATGCAAAGCTGGATCTTGACACCAGATTCCGCTTGCTGAGCTTTCTTAGAAAAAGTCTGTGATGGTAGGTATGCAGCCCGAAGAGAGACACAGAGAGAGAGAGAGAGAGAGATAGAGAGAGAGAGAGAGGGAGAAAGAGGGAGGGGAGGGAGGGACGGAGGGAGAGAGAGGGAGAGAGAGACACACACACCCACACACGAGACACACGCACGATGTCTTCTCTGGGGGGCTTTGAAACTTTCAAGTGCCCCTGATACCGAAATTCGCTCGCACAGGAGGCCTGGCCCCTAGACCCACAGGGGCCCTGGGGGCCTCCTAAAAACCCTGAAAGGTCCGCATCGGCTGGGGTCTTGTCCTTATTATAGCCGGTTTGTGCACTGCAAAATGGTGTGTGTCTCCGTGGCTGGCAGGCTATGGATTTGGGCCTCGCCCAACACCCCCAAGATAGCAAGGATCGCTGTCATCACAAGGAAAAAATGCAGCTCAACCCCAAAGAAGCGCTTCCGAGTCCTCGAAACGGAAGCTGAATGGAACTCGTGACTTGAAGCCAGGGTTGGAGTCGAAGAAGGTGTCCATTTCCGACTCCTTAGGCTCAAAGCCCCATGGCTGAGGAGGACCAACTGTAGGAGGGGAGCTTCCAACTGGAGAGCTCATATACCGGGTATGTAATGGGTATACTGAGACCACGGGCGTTATCTACCGGGATATACGACCTGTATGTCAGGTCCCGACATAGTGACTCCCCTCCTAAAACCGCCTAAGGAATTGATCGTACGACGAGCTCATGGCCAATGGACCAGGCTGTCTGACCGGACTCCGAGGTGTTGCTGCCTCTGAAACACCTACCTCTGAGAATTATAACGGGATCCTCAGATGTGCTGTCGATTTTACCTGCGTAAGTGTCCTGGAAACGGCCAATGTCAACCATAATCCATATCTTCTGATGGAGGAAAGTGCTCGTGAATGTGCAATGGAGGTACTTGGTCAAGGCATGTCCCCCAAGCCACCCTCAAGCAATTAAGCTTGCCTAATATTCTGATAAGAGAAGGTTTTTGTCTAGAGGTGTGAGTCCTTCTACCCCTAACCCTGAAATCCTTGTGTACGTACTATATACCCTACATGTACCCTTAAGGGTCCCTACAATCCCCCTTAAAAGGCTAAAAGCCCATATTAGGGCTCATACTTTCAACCTCCCAAGCTTAGTCTCCACAACCACCTTGCAAGCAACCCACACCTTGACCACTGCCTTGCGTGCTGCAAGCCCGCAGTAGCAAGCCATACGCACTACGCCTAATGAGCAGAATTCTAGGTCTCCTGATAGAAGAAACACAAGTAATGACCAAGACTTTGAATCTCAAGTGTGAACTTGAAGCCAGTGACATAGCCTGCCAGGATGACAATGATATTCTTGCGCTTGTCCTCCATTTCCTGACCAGACCGAATCTGAGGAAGCACTGATGAATTACCCATGACTGCCCCAGATAGCAGCCAGACGAGACAGCAGGAAACATACGCGTTTTGGTGGAGAGGGCTTCAATTTTAATACTGCGCAGACACTCTTGCGAATCAACACTGACACCATGGCCCTACGTGCCAAGGCAGTTACATGACGATACTTAACAGCCTCGTAACTTCAACACACGGAACTCATAACCACATTGAACCACACTCAAGCCCCAACTTTAAACTATAGTCCCTCTTAAGTAGATAGAATATGGCTTTGGGTATATTACAATCAGATCCCCATATACCCCATATTCTATCTACTTAAGGGGGACTATACGTGGCCCCGCTGTGTAGACCCAAACCCAGACCATGCACTGACCGGACCTTGATCAGCGTGTCCACCGCCTCTTGACCAAATGTGTCCTGCACAAAATCCTAAGGGTCCAAGTACCCAATAATTGGGTCCCTTTAAAGGGGATATATAGGGGCATATGATATGGATGTATAGAGTTTAGGGTTTAGGGCCCTAAGGGTCCAAGTACCCAATAATTGGGTACTTGGGTATGGGGTAATTGATTCTTTGGGTCCTTGGACCTTTAGGGAAAACATGTTGACAAACCTGAAGCCTGCTCACATCGGTTTACCTTAGGTCATACAGGGCTTACATAGAGTTACACAGGGCTTATAATGAGAGGTTTCATGTAGAGTTTATTTTGGGCTTATGTAAATAGGACTGTATACAGGTACTTGGAGGCTATTGGGTTAACACTGCGCTTTGGAATACTTGAGGTGCTGCTCCCACCCAGTAAGAGTGTGCAATGGGGTGAATATAGTCAGTATTTACCTGCTACTGAGTGCCAGCGGTGCCCGGGATTTACTCTACCCTTATATTAGCATGAAACCTGCAAGGGGGTCCTTCTTGTAGACAGCATTTTTTTTAATATAGAAGTCTGTATGGTTCTTACTAGGTTAGGCTGCTAGGTTGCGCCGGCACAAGCAGCCGGGATACAAGCCAAATGAAAGCACGGCTCGGGCAAGTAAGATCCAACTTCGTCAACAAATGCTGTCCTGTTGTAATCTTTGACGAGGTACAAGTGAAAACATGGTTGCCCATGTCTGTTGCAACTTCAGCAAGAAGACCGATTAGTTGTTTGGGTAGTTCCCAAACTTAGGGTCCCATCCTGGTACCCCTAAATAATACGTGCCGTAATGCAGTCTATAACCAAAAGGGGCCCATATTGTTGAGAACAACTGATTTTTTTACAAATGTTCTAGTGCAAGCTGACGCAAATACATGATGGCCAGTCCATGCAGAAACACAAATATCCGGGTCCTTTCCCTCGCGCACGAGCGCGTATGCCTCGTCAATGAAAAGGACACCGCCCAAGGCATTTTCGACTGCACGCTCGACCTCCAATTCCGGAATGTTCGAAGCTTCTTTGACATTCGGCCTCATGGACTTTATTCTTTGAGATTTCAGGGATTGAGCTCTTACGCCACCAACTAGCTGGTAGCTAAACCAGCTCCAAAATTCAATCTACCGACTTACGAAATTCACCCCCCCCCTCTAACGCTGGGCTTACTTAGTTCAGTCATGGTAGCCTCATGAGACAGTGCTCTCTAGGCTCATGAAATGTTTTTGTCTTTATTGCCTTCATATTTTGGAAAGGGCCCTTTGATATTGTGGGGACATATCTGAGATCAGGGGCGGAGGGTGTTTAATATTCGTATCCCAAAGCCCTAAACATGATGGCATTACAACAAAGGGTGAGCTCAATTCAGCTCGTAACAAGGTGCTCAGAGTGCCCTATAGCAAGTAGTATTTCAGGTGTCACTATTGAGGTCACCCTATTTAGGCAAACTACAAGACCCTTAACCCTAAACCCTAAACGCGTGGTCTGGGAGCTCAAGTTCATACTTTGTTTTTTGGGGAGTTTCAGGCTTTTTGAATGCCATCTCGCCAGGCTAATTAGTGCCGTTGTTGGTGAGCTTTAGCAGTTTGAAGCCAATAAAGTTGCGGATGTGCTTGCTGGTGAAGTTGCTGAAGGGCGTGCTAAGGCTGCCCTGCTGGATGTTCGCCGCGGCATTCAGGAAGTTCTGTACCGCTGATGTTGGCTTGTTCAGGAGGCTCTTGTTGCTAGGTACGCCTTCTAGCATTCCAAGATGGATGGCAAACTTATCCCTAGGATGCAGGCTCCCATACTCCCGACCCGCGCGGAAATCGTTACGCATTCCAATGTCACGAGCACCCGTCATAGTTTCCATCCCTGTAGGCAAGGTGTAGCTGCTTCAGCCAGGTGTGTATGCTGCGGCTTGCTAATACAGGCTAGTTGGAGGAGGGACAGGTTGACTCAGGTCATGGATCTCCCTTGCACGTGGGGGTATCATTTCATTGCGCTAGGTATCCGCTCCTCCCATCAGCCTGCAGTTGAGGGCAATAGCCTAAGATGCAGGAGCTGCAAGCGCAGCCAGAAGGTCCACAGTTTTCTTACCTTCAACAAGTTCCGGACAGGATGTACAGGATCTAGGAGATGAAGGGTCACTCGGCTTCGCCATGTCTGTATTGTCATTTTTTTCCTCGTACTTGGAGGTTCACGGGATCACTTATGTCTGTACTGAGAACCCAATCGTAGGCCCCCTAAGTTCTCCAACCTGGGTAAATATACATATATATATATATATATGTATGTATATATGTATATATGTATATATGTGTATATGTATGTATATATTTGTAAGTACATATACATATATATATAGAGAGAGAGATAGATAGAAAGATAGATAGACAGACAGATAGATAGATAGATATATATATATATGTATGACAGCAGTGGGGTCATGCTTCTGTCGGTTGACATGACCAAAATAATGCATGCAGCCCCCAGCCATTTCCAAACCTTACTGTAAACCCAAAACCCTAAACCCCTGACTCGAAACCCGGGACCTTATACTGAGGTTTCGAGTGGTATTGCTCTGAATTCACATGGCTTTCATTACCTAATCAACATTCACTAGCATGAGTTTTTGGCCTCGTTGGAGCCGTTTGGGTTTAAAATATATAGGGTCTAGTGCTTGGTCTTTTAGGGTTTTAGTGTTTAGGGGTTTAGGGAGATTCATGGTTAGAACCAGTTTATAAGCCTTCTGAGTCTCCTAACGTGGCTCTCGCTGCGTTGAAGGTACGGAGTATAAAATTTGGATGTACTACCCTTAACCTCTCCATGTATGGACATCTGCCTAGACCCTCCTTCTACCCTCTATTAGGGCCTAGTACCCACTATTAGGAACCATATATCCCCAATTACGGCTACAAGGAGGGTCCTAGTACATAATCCCAGTTTCCATTTCATTTTCTATTTTCTTTTCCATTTGATTCTCCAGTATAGTAGCTTCCATTTTATTTTCCATTATCCCCAATTAAGGGTACAAGGAAGGTCCTGGTGTATCCCTAAACCCTAAACCCTAAACCCTGAATCCCAAAAGTTTAAGACACTGCAGAAGCCGCCTTAGGAGCTGTCTGCCCCAAATATTGCGCCACCAAATCTGCGCGGCTGGCCTGGTGTGTAGGGATTATGGGTCAGGATTTAGGGTTCAGAGTCTAGGGTTCAGGGTTGCGGGCTTAGGATTCAAGATTTTGTCGGCACTCAGCTCAACCCTAAACCCTAAACACTTACCCCCAAAAATAGGTAAAATAATAGCCCCAAACCCCAAAAAAGAGCCCAAAAGGCAATTATTCTACTTACTTTTGGGGTTCAGGTATAGCTCAGAGCTTCACAGCCAGGGGCCAAAAATGGTCCGAAGCAATGTCTGCCTCGCGGAAGACGAGCTCAGTGGGCACTTCGTGACCCAGCTCTTTGCTGCGGTTCTTCGCCTCGTGATGCGCTCTGCGCCAAATTACGGTCTATAGGGCTTTGGGGAGTGCAGAATGTCGAATTTTGGGATGGGCTCCAGATTGGTGTTTACGCATATACGCGTATAGAATGTCAGGTACACCAACTATGTGCAAAGAAGATCAGGCACCCCCCCCCAACAGGGGGTAAGCTGTCTTTGCAAGCAGAGTTGACATTTTGCATTGCCTATTCCACAACCCTGTGCTTCCCCGAAAGGAGGCCAACGGAAAGGCCAAAAAACTTTGGAGATGTCGACTTGCTCCACGATCCAATGGATGACTCACGGAAGATTGATGAACGATTTGGGTGCTACGCTTTTGGGAGTCCCTGCTAAAAGAGTTGTAGTATTTGACGTGTCTAGAAGGGGAACGTTGTTTTTTGAAAGCACTTCATTCAATATATGTTTGGGTTTTGCGAAATTGCTCTGTTCGCTCTGAAGGTCTGCTAGATAGACCCCGCACCATCCTCCTATTCTGTCTCCTTGTGAGGATGCTACTGCTACTTACATAGTGAGCATGATTGCTAACAGCTAACAGCCACGCATGTATAGGGACCAAGGCTTTGGGCACAAGACCGTGATCATGATGCTGCAAATGCTGAGCATGCTGGTGATGAGAGGGGACGAACATGTGACTAGCCACAGCCACGCAAGCAGAAATAATGGCTCCACCTTAAAGATGTGAACAAGATCCAGCTGCATCCTGGCATCCTACCCCGAAGGTTGTGATGACCTTTTTTTGGTATAACCTTGTGCTACGCATATACAAACAACCAGCTTCAACCACAAACTCTGTGCTTGGGGCCCCACATCAAATAAACAATAATCAACAAATGCATAGTCTCTGAAAATCATAAGCTACAGTAGTTCGCAGTTATTATACAGGTGGAAGGTTGTACAGGATTTCTGCTATCCACGCTAGCAGGCTTTAGGGAATTTTCAACCACTGGGGCTTAGGAGGACATGGGCTCGAGTCGGCGAGAGTTTGGGATCTAATGTTTCGACTGTAAGGGAGTACTGCACGGCGCTCAGGTTTAGGTCGCAGTTTTCAGCTGTGACGTTTGGGATGGTAAAGGGTCTATGCAGGGCAAGCACGTTATCATCTAGGTAATTTCCTCTTGCAGTACCACTTACCATAAGAGGTCAGGACTTGTAATATGTTGTAATAACCCCTTGATAAGGCGCCTTTAAGAACAGCTACTAGGACGGGAATGACCCAAGTTATCATACCGACAACCATAAACATGGGTTAGGAGTCACTTCTCATCTGCAGGACACTTCCACAAATCTAAAACCAGCACAGTACCTTAAAGCCATGCATTTCTGAAACTCTAGACAGCTCCAACCCCCCTCCCCCACCCCCACCCTTC